TCGATCCATGCGAGTGGTCTCGTGCGAACCAAAGCTTTTCAGGACTCAACATCAGAACGTCAAATAACCCCCACAAGTAAGTTTTTACCGAATTTAGTGGTAAAAAGTGTGGCGAAAATGGGCGCGAACTGGCGCTAAATGGCGTCAAAAACTAGTGTATTCGTGATGGGCGCACCGAATTACCCCAATGATATTTTAGAGAATTTTCGACCCTTTTTGGAGTTTTAAAAGGGCAACACAGCCCAAGCTTGCAGCCCTCACATGGCGAATTCAATTTTATAAAAAAATGTCTTCGATAGAACTAATGGTCTTAAGAGCGCCAGGCTATAGAAAGGACGCCTCAGCGTTATTTGGGCAATTTTTCTACCAGCTGTTTTTCGGAACATTTTTATGATGATGTAAACGTTGGACAGAGCAAGTTTCCCCGTTTACAACGCTCGTTCCCTTTCGCAGGAGGTTGTCTCAACCTCTCGCCAGGAGAACTTCCTGCGTTATTCTGAGAGAAGTCAAACCCCACTATGCAGCAAGGTTTAATACTGTCTATAGGTGGAAACTGAAATTGAAATGGCCTTCAAATGAATTTTTCACCGCACCATATTAGACCCTATTTGTTTGAAGCATTGTTGAGCCACCGCAAAAGATTTCTCGCCTTCTTCCCACTCCGATTGCGACTTCTTATTGTGTACTAGGTCGTGCACTGCTTACCTTCATTTACACATTCTAGCCTTTCCTAGCACAACACAGAAAAAAATTTCTGGTTTCGTTACCAATCCCAATCATTTTCATCCCAATAGTAGGCATTTGTTTGTGATTTTTGCTCGATAAGTTACTTTCCTATACGTTTCTACTAAATAACTCAGCTGACTGTATTACAGGTCCACTTCATTTCCGGGCTCAAAAAACGCGCCTTGTGGGACAGCGCGGGACGCATATGTCCCGCAGCCATTGCACTAGCAAACTCGCGCCTGTCCCACGCGATAAAAGATCAAAACGTGCGTTGTCGTCAACGTGTCACTTGATGTGCACTTTGTTTCTTCGAGAAAACTTCAGCGTGATCAAGAGGTTCCCACCACTGATCGCTCTTTTCGAAGCGCGTCACGAATTTACCCAATTCAGAGGAAAAAAAGAAGGGGCATCCCTGATCCCCTGTCACACACCTAGCGAAATGGACGAATTTTTTTCAAATGGCTGCATCAGAACACTTTTACTCTCCTTATCTCATTTACAGAAAGGATTTTTGAGTGATGTTTCCTTCAAGACGACATTTTGAAAGGAAAGGATGCCTGCGAACCGGCCAAAGACACGCCTGTGTCGCTCTGCGTCCCTCTCTCAGTGCTTTGTAGGATGTCAATAGTGTAAACTGTCAACAAAATATTTTACAACAAGTTACTTTCCTATCATATTGTAAAGGTAAAATTTTATGCTAGTTAAGCAACCATGTGTTTATTCATTATACTGTAACACATTAGTAAAACTAAAGGCAGTGGGTCAAACGATGGAGGGCGTTGCGGTCTCTGGTGACCGTCAACTTAGGCGTCACTAGTAGAGGAGGTGTTACCCGCAGTTCCGCCCCACGCCCAGAAGGGGGGGAACTTAGTTTTCCATGAACGCTTCTTATGACGTCCCAAAACCGGCACCGTAACTCCAGCCATTTGTGAATTCCCTGCTTTTAAAAGATGCAACTTCAGACTAAATGATAATACGGTACGGATATGCAGTGGGAATGTGAAAGCGAGAATCAGGTAGTTGAGGGGAAATATCACTTTCACGGCCAAATCGACACAAAAAAAGAGATTTCAATGAAAATCTGTGGTTAGAAAATGTTCACGAAACACATTATGGACTTATTCAATACCCGTGTGACACTAGCTCGATATGTGAAAGGTCCTGATTATGTGTGTAGTAGTAAATAAAACTGTTGAATAATATAGTGTAGTAGAAATTGAATACCTATCCCACAAAAAACTACAGGACAGGGGTAGAGGACTAGATTCTACAAGCCAGATTGGTGTTTCTCGAACAAGCACAAATTTTTTGACCCGTTGGTCGGCTTTTCCTCCAGAAGCTCCTGTTTCGGTTCCTCGCAGATGACAGAGTCCCATGGCTGGACGTCAGCTGAAAACAGTGAATCATGGTCTGTTGTGAAAATGCAACATCGGCCTCGTGCAACAGAAACGTCAAAAGTGTCACATAATACCAGCGGACGCAGCGCGGCAAGCCGGTTCCCGCGGCGCGGCACGCGTCGCGGCTTATGTGACGTTATGTTCAGATCGAAACAACTGTTCACATAAAAATTACCTGAACCGGATATTTGGAAGAAAAGGCCGGTTATCATGCAGATCACCACAATAGTGAGGAATACAATCTGCCATTCCTCAAGAATACCCTAAAATTTGAAAGCCTTGCCAATTTCGTAATATTTTGGACACAAAATAGGTCAAAGTGGAGTGAGTAGGATTTTTTGGTAGTCATCTACGTCATCGTCGATCCTTCACCTTTCACGATCTTGTGGTGCGTTCAGCTAATTTGCGAATCGGTGCAGTGGGATGTGGGTCAGGAGATCCAGATTGCGGCGCCGCGCTAGAGATAGGATTGCGCGCACGCCATTTGCTTAGGGAAATACCGTACCCTATGAAACGGGCGGTCATCCACATTTGAGTATTTGAGGTTTAGGTCCGGATGGAAGATTTCCTGATTCTTTTCCTTCTCTCCTGTTTGACAAGCATTAAAAGCAAGGTCCGGGATTTCTAGTCGAAAGTAACCTTTTCTCCGAGAAGAGTGCAGCGGTGCGCAAGCGGAAAGCATGTACACAACTTTCGGGATGATTTGACAAGGCCGAGGCGCTAAGGCCCTAGGATGCAGCATTGGCCCCGCCCAACACCATTGAGCCCGCCCACAAATCAGTGCTATTTCGCTTTGCTGCTACTGGAAAGAGGGTTTATTTCGCCTTGTCGACGGTTTCTTCCCATTTTTCCATTGCAGGTGTTACACTTAACATCTCCGCTGTCACTCACAAGCGCAATAATACATCAATTTGATCCCGCACTCTGCCTTTAGGTTTTTGCTGGCTGTGCTACTTATTTTTCATCTGCTAGGTAATTTACCTCGGCTTCGGTGGATAATTTGGTCGCCTATCAGTGAAAGCACTAGAAACGAAAAAATTCCATTTTCACGTCGTCGCGACCGCACGCGTGGAACTACAGCCTCCCATATGTGAGATAGCAATGTATTGCAACTGGATGTCTCAGTTCTCCTTACAACAGCAACTACAACGCCTTGATGATGTTGAGCGATGGAAAGGCTGCGCGCCGAGACCGCGCGCGTCTTACTACTGTGATCTCAAACTTGACTTCATGGAGTGTTTTCCTAGAATCCACCTTCATCTTACCTGTTTTGTGAGGGCGCCAATTTCGTACGGAGCGAGAGATGATGCGATCTGAATGTAGATTATTTTTGTAGATTGTTTTAGGAGATATTTATGGACGAAAACAAAAAAGCGCTAACCTGCGCCCAAATTCGACTGAAAGCTGCTATGGCGGCAGTTTGAGAAGGAGCGATTGATACAACACTGAAAGCGAAGGATTTCTGTGAATTGACTCAAATTTTGAATTTCCACGAAAAAAAAAACAAGGCAGGCAAGTCACAGTTGAAGCCTCAACATGGGTCGTATTTGCCATGCTGGGGAGCAGGGGTCATATAGAAGTTTAGGAGGGGATACAGGATAACAGACCGCATGTGGGAACAGGGTGTGGTCACAGATATATGGAAGACCAACGTAAACAACCTTGAGGTGGGAAGACCGTTAATAACCTTTGGGGCGGGGAAACCTAGATCGTAGGAGGTGTTTGGGAAACAGGGGAATCGTTCCTGCCACAAGTTCTTCGACACGTGACACATTCTATGTAATTTTATTTGGGTGCTAACTTAGTTGGGGGGGGGGGCCACGCGGCGGCGCGGCAGTCTGCTCACCTGGGCTCTCTCGAGCGAGACAGTGTAAACTCGAACATTCCAGCTTTTCACGCATGTCAAGTGACTGCCCCCACCCCCCCCCCCCCCCCTAGGACTGGCTACACTCCCCCTGGCCCACGGATTTCCGAACCAAAAAATAAACAGGCGAAGCAGACTCCCGCCTGCGCCGAAAAAAGTGCCCCCCCCCAACTAAGTTAGCACCTTTATTTGTTCTAAGTTATTTCTATGTTCGCTGCCAGAAAGAGAGAAGCGCAAAAGATGGCAAAGACGCGAGCGGTTGCGCGGCGTGGCCGTGAACGCCGTTCGTCAGATTCTATGGTTTTACTAGTCATGTAGCGGAATACTAGATGGTGACCGGTTTTGACTAGATGTTGATTGATTCCATACGTTAAACTGAGAGCGCAAATGGTCCTCACCTGTGTTGTATGACCCGGGATCATATTCCCGAAATAATGGCCATAAAAAAAAAGCCAACACCCATCATGAATCACAGCCGTAAAAAAAATAAAAAAACAGTCAAATAAAAAGATATGGCTCAGCCGAAGAGAAGTGAAACGAAGATTAGCTAGAATAAGGAAACTTTATAATTATACGAAGTTATTACGATGTCCGTGCCTCTTACCACTAGAATTGCATGCTTTGGTGACGCTGGTGAAACCCATCCAATTGCGTTTCTTCGACTCATCAGCAAAGCCGGCGTATAAGACCTTGGAGACAAACTGGCAGATGAATGGCAACGCTGAGAGGATCCCGTTCTAAAGCAGGTCACAGAGTAAGAGAACTGGGGAATGAGTATTGATCTTTGAGAATGAGCTGCAGCTGGCTATATACGGTTCTGGAGGCTCTGCTTTGAGCACAAAATGCTCGGAATTCCTGAAGTTTTCCTGAGCTAAGCAGCAATAGAGACTTATATCTCGATAAACATCACGGTGTGGGTCATGAGGTGGCGGCCGGCCGCCCCGGCCGCGCCGCCGCCCCGGCGCGCGGCCGCCCGCCCGCCCCCCGCGGCGCGGCCGCCGCCCCCGCGGGCGCCGGCCCCCCCCGGCCGCGGCGCCCGGCCCGCGGCGGCGCCGCCGCGCCCGGCGGACCGCAGTGCGGCGTCGCAGCGGGTGCGCGTCGCGTGCGCACACCGTTGCATTGGGAGGTCCTTGTCATAGAAATGCATCCGTCCAAGTTTGTAGGACTGACGATGAAACGCTAAACGGAGGATTACTGACTGAATGCTCTCCTTCGTTGTTTCCTCTTTTCATTTTTCTTCCCCGAAACGTCATGAATTGTTTTTCTACTACCTATCTCTAGAATTCTGGACGAAGAAGCAGTTATCCAATCTAAAAACAACGGGTCTGCCAATATTACCCCCATCAGATGGCGTGGAATAGGTTAACGGTAAGCGGCGTAGCTAGCTAAGAAGCACCGGCCTAATGTGAATCACCTGACTCACACCGATTGCAGTGAATTTATCAACGATCGTAGAGCATCGCATGTCACAGTCGGCTGGTCTCCATCGGCAACAAGGGCAAGTAGGACGGAAGACGTCGAAGAGGTTTGGCGTAGCGCTCCATTACTAGAGCTACGTAGCAACTCTGCAGGTCCTAGGTTCAGCATATTGGGTATCTGGGAAGGATGAGATCGTGCGGGCCGTGAACGACCAGTGGGGCTCCTTGGCGCTACACTAATTTAGCCTATTCTATAATCTATTTTATCCCTGATTCCTAGCACATAGAACTGCGGAAAAAAAGCGACGTCAGCTTCTCGGCGGTCACTCTATCCCAAAGGAAAACATTGCTCTTATCAGTGCGTGTTAGCCCCCTCCATTTCACATAACAACTGATAACGGTGCAAAAAAAACATGGGAAAAGTGGTACTTACCGAGGTTAAGCTCATGTTCAGTACAGTTTTGTAGTACAGTGGAAGATAGGTGACCGTTCCGACGGTTATGAAGTTATGAGCGAATGCACTTCCAGCAATAGACCACACCACTGGGGACGACAGCAGCTGCGCCCAATTGGCACGCTAGAATTCATTTTGGTGGATTTGTGCATACTGGTTTTGATCTTCGGGTCTCATCCAGTAAGGGGGGGGAGCACGTGGTCGACAGTTCATGTCGCCTGGAGTAACCCAGTTGTTCCTAAGGAGAAAAGCTTCGGGGTGGGTGAGCAGCGAGATCGGTATGGTTCACGTACCTCAGGGGATTCCCCCCACCCTCCCCTTTGAAAATTGGAACTTCTGTAAGCGGCAGCAACTATTGCCCATGCCTCCTCCCTCGCTCCCCTTACTGGATGAGACCCTTATCTTCGCCAGGATACCTGCACACGAGGCCGCCGACCGGCTGCATTTGTGATGACTTGGATTTCCTCGTTAGTGATACCTCTGGCGTTTGCGGGATCGTCGGCGACAAAAACTTGCCAAAGAATACAGAGCAGTACACCAAGAATACCTAAATCCGGTTAAGCCTCAGAAACTTTGTGACCAAAACCAAAGAAATCTTACCGTAAACATGAAAAGCCATCGGCCAACCGCCCATAAACGGCACCTGACACAATTCAGCCGTTGCAAACATTGCAATGACGACCGAAAGCTGTAAAAGGTAAATTTTTCATGTGCCAGATAAGGCGGTCCGCGTCAGCGGACGCGTCGCGTATAGATAATAGGAATAGATAGTTCCTAGCTGAATTTATTCAATCTGATATCGGGATGTATGTTTTTCAAGTGAAAGTCAGTTGTGGGCGAGGGCCATGGCGGTTGAACGAGTGATAACAATGAGTGGGCCGTACGTGTTTCGATGACACGTCATTGAACGTCATATGGCCGACTAGACTCCTCACTACGAGGGGTGTGGTTGTAACCACCTCATAAAGTCCTTCCGTCAATAGCGTCAATGAGGCCATCAAACCCGCACAGCCCTCCAACCGCCGTGATCCTGCCTTTTAGGAAAGAAATGAACACAGTGACTCTAGAACTGCAACGCAGCCGCACGCAACAAAATAAGAGAAACACAACATGTCACCAAAAAAAAATCTCAAACTCGTATAGAGAACCTGATTTCCTGTGGTTGCAATGGCTAAAGCTGTACTCTTCTCGGTAGGAGGGAACCAGTGGCCACAAGGACACTCATACATGGCCAGAGCAAACCCTAAAACGATCCTAATGTGAAACGTCAAGGACTTTCAAGTGATCCAACAACTGAAGTTTTACCTGGCCAAAACCCATGACAAATCGTAGAATGACCATTGGGATGGCTCCTAGATAGCTGGCCACTGTTGGTGTGGCGAACGTGCCCAGAACGTTGATGATGGCACCGTAGAGAACCAGCCGCTTTGCGCCCATCCAACGATTCAAGTTCTGAAATCCGAACAGGCGAACATATTCTCATTGACACGCATTCTGGGGTACCCGACAGGAGGTCCGTCGTGCGACAAGAAAGCAGAGTCGGCGGACGAATCGCAGCGCGCTTGTAGTTTTTTCGCGTCAAGTTAATTAGAATGTACCATTGCACGTCCTATATCGCACAGCACGCGCTACGACTCGTCCGCTGACTCTACCTTCTTGCTGCGCGATGGGCCTCCTGTCGGGTATCCTGCATTCTGAGTTGGAGACACATTTAGCGATAGCCTCCAAAAAATTACCCCAGGCAGGTGGAAAATGTGCAGTTTCAGGAAGTGACATCTGACATCATTCCTTAGAGGGCGGATTCGGAATCATTGACATGGGCTCCAAACGCTTGCCCGCACCGACTGTAGTGCCATATTTATCTGCGTCTCGCTGGCCTTTATTATGTCTCGCCCTCTCGTCGTCTAAGTCTCTCATCCTGACACGTTCTCTGTTTACTTCATCCCGAACAGTAAGGGTGCATCAGTTGCAAATCCTCCTTCTAAGCACTTTAACGTTGTCTTTACATTTCTGCCGGCTTTTCAGGCAGGCACCCATGAAAGGTTCTGGAGGAGTAATAACGCTATTTTGGGATCGGATAAAGCAACCCTACTAAACTCGCAGATGATCCTTGCATATCCGGCTCCATCGTGTACGACAGGACCACTAGAGCCTTTCCGTGAGCGGCTTCGACAGCTACCACACTTTCCTTCAATCGCAAGAAATGAGAGTCTGCGCCCTCTCATACATTGCGCTCTCTCGCTTACCCTTGCTTTCTCGACGCACAGTTTCTCATTGTTTAAAAAACGGCCGACTTACGAAAATGATTAAGCAGCTGATTCTAGCGTCTTCGAAGAACTCTCTTTCTTTTCCTTGACTTCCGGCCCACTTCACACTCATGCTTTCATTGTTTGTGAGCAAGAAATACACCAGTTTGATCGTGGAATGAGCCTTTCGCTGTGGCTGCTGCTTCCTACTAAGCCCTGGTAGACCATACTGATGTGTTGGTGTTTGGAGAGCTGATCAATAGTTTATGCCTACCTGAGGCGAGATGGTTCAAACTATCGAAAAACCTGTGGTCAATAAAACCCTCCAAACCACTTAATGACGTATGCATGCTAGTTAAGTTTTGAATTTGGAATAAAACAAAAAGACTCCAGCGTAGGCATACCAGCTAAAAAAAACTCAACCTCGGTGACGAGAGTAGCCAGAAGACCTCCAGCGTAGAACGAAGCGAAGATCACTGCACGCTGTTGAGAAGTCCATGTAAGGTCGCCGGTCTGAATACTTCACTAGAGTAACATTTTTGGGTTTGGGTAAAAGCGGCTGATACAAAGGACAAGCTGGCAAAGGGCAAAGAGATGTGAGGAACTCGACAGGAAGGGGGTGGGGGCGAGCATGAAGGCTTGAGCACTTCAATAGCACGACGGTTTGACTCAGATTCTCTTTCCCCTCTTACCATCCTTTTCGCCCAACTCGGCTTAGATCCTCATCCTTACGCCCTTTTGGGCTAAGCCGATATACAGGGGGGGGGGGGGCAAAAAAAAAAGACATTTTGCCTCCACTTCCAGATGGATTTAAGCACATTTTACTCAACTCAGACCGAACGGTTCCAACTTATTATTAAAGAGTGCATTCCATTCTATAAGAAAATCTTCATAGTGGCCACGTACGTGGACGGCATCAGAAGAATTTGCCCTGGAAACATGGTGCACTGGTCGAGCTCAATGGGGTCTTCGAAGGATCGTGTACCATAACGACCCTTACTGGAAAGCTAGTTCCGAGGGGATTTGCACAGTGGTAGCTAATGCCTCTAGAAAACTATCCAACATTAAATCGATTCACGAAATTGCGTAAGAGCTTCAGGCTGAAGCTCTTACGGTAGACCTCCTTGAGCCTGACGACGGTGACAGATGACGTCATATTCTGAAGACGGTGAGGGCAGTGAAGGAGGGCCTGCGTCACTTATAGAGGGACACTTAGGGAATACTCTGCTGAGGAACTCCCGTCAACGACAGCAATCTCTGCGAAGAAAAAAGAGCCGAAGTCCGACATAGGCAAAATGTCTTTTTTTTTTGCCCCCCCCCCCTGTATATAGCTTTGCTGTATTCAGTCTGCGCTATACGGCCTTTCCATGGCAGGACCGACGACATAAGTTTAAGCGAATGCATAACCGAGCAGTTACAGTGTTCCGAAATGATCCAAAGGGGGCTCACATATTCGTAGATTTTTTCGTTGCCAAATTTGAGCACTTCACACTTCGCCCCAGCAAATGAGTTGTTTGAAGTTCTCATCGTCAAAGGTCGTCCTTCAGCGATTGCTGTCTCGTTCAGCATGCAGACCATTGCCTAAACGCTGGAGGATTATGAAGAAGGAATCCAGTGAAGCACCTGCGCTCACCATATTCAGATTGCTTCTCATCAGGCCTTCGATGGTGAGCGCTAGCGCAATGCATATCGCAACCCTTAATCGGACACTCTTCCAACTCCATAGCCGAGTTGTCATCGAATGTGTCCTTAAATAAAAAATTCGAGGGAATTCAAAAGTACTAATTGTAAGGCGAGACTGAGCAGATCTCAGCCTAGGAAGGGAAAATGGATCTGCGTCGTAGAGCTTACAAGATGCCGCGGTGGACGGCCAAGAGGGCGCAACTCATGCACCATCCAATGAGCACAGGTCTATTAGCTATCACTCTGAGAGGGTTAAAATTAGAGGCGGGCAGTCATAATTCCAGGCTGGAATCAGCACTTACGAAACAGAATATTGTAATTTCTCTTGAATCCGGTTGAGGTCTATTATTAGGAGCAGCGGATTACGGTAGCGGCTCGGTCTAACGACTATTACTAATTATAAGTTTTAGTTATAAAGCGGTAGTCAATTTGTTGCAGGTGAAGACGGTAGAGAAACGTGAATGAAGGTAGACTAGTTCGCAGCCGAAGAACAAGGCAAAAAAAGCACTGCAAACGCTCTCACCAAAAAAAATTGTAGACAGAGACAAGTCCAAAATCTGACGAGCCTCCTCTCTTAGAGGAGTTTCGAAACGCTGCCCCCCTTCCCTAGAATCTTCGTCAACTTAGTAGGTGTCCCTCAATACAATCACCATTCAGGGGGACCAGTCAACACAACCCAACTCTATACATTTTCTTCTTCAAAATGAACGTAGAGAGGGAGATGAAGTGGTATGGCTGAAGAAACAGCAAGTGTTCTGGTTCTACCCACATTCTTTCTTCCCAGGAGTTTTTGCCAGGATCACACTAGTCAAACACAAACCCCTCGTCCGGAACCACGGAACCACATCAACTCTACAGACACTACCCCCCCCCAAGCTTATGACCTTCGAACCACTAATGCGACCTCCACCGAAAACTCAAGGCACAACCTATCGTTGGGAACTGCGTAACGCACGGTTGACCTTGCAGGCAGACCGATTAAGACTGCACCAGCTTAAATATGGCAAGAGGCTGAGATGAGAGGACGATGCTGGAAAGCTGAGAGAGATGGCGTTGGACATGACGCAGGACGCACTCATGAGTCAGTTCTGAGGGGGGGCCTGGCCAACTGTAAGAGCACTTCATTATTTCGCATTCCGCACAGCCTCGAAGCGCTAAGCCGCGCCTGTAAGCAAGGTTTTCTCAAAGTAAGATCGGTATCTCTACTTAACTGGATGGGGAATGTGTTTTTGATGCATCCATAACACTAAAATGCCTATTTAGTCTGTTGTGAGGAGAAGAGTGCTAGCAAGTGGAAAAAGCCATGACCCATAGCTGGGCTTAGGTAAATTTGCAACAAACTGAATTTTCGTAGAATCAATTCAAGGAAAGAAATTAGAAACAGGTACTGGGTTGAATTAATACGAAAATCGGAAATCGGAAAAGTGAATAGGCGGACGTTATAATGGTGAAGAAAAACAGTAGGAACCAAAAAGAGTCACGTCGCAAGAGGATTGTGGCTCCGACTATCTCATAATTTGATCCACCAAACAGTCTTACTTCGTTCCCTAGCATGTAAGTACAAATATGTTAATGAACTCACTGGTTATTGAAGAAGACACAAATTAGGAAGTCGATTATAAGTTTACTATAGAATAAAGTATTTGAAGGACTTATGCTATACGAACGTACAACCATTAGAGGAAGGAGAGAAAAGGATTTGCTGATAAAAGGCGTGATTCATAGATGTAAAGAAATTTTGAAATTATATCCATTCTTAGAAGTCTTCTGAATCTTTGAGAATAGCCAAGAAATTCCATAAAATAGTTAGTCGTACGACGCTCACAAAAAGATTGAGATGATCTATACCGCAAAATGGCACGTAAACGAAAGTCGGAAACCGGAACCCCGGCATGGGGTCACTTCGAAATATCACTCGTCCCAAAGCTTACGTTGTTCACCTCACCTAAACCTTGTATTCGTGAAAAGTATCAAAATGAAACACGAAAAACTAATTAATTCTTTCACATAGGATGCGCCGTGCACTTGACTTTTTACTCGAAATCGGATTAAAGAAAGTCTTCTAAGACGTAGTAAGAGGTTCTGCTCTTAAAGAAGAGCCTTCTCAATGAAATAGAATCACGTAGGAGAGTTCAGAGACCGTTCTCAGTCAATCAGTGAAGGTTTGATCAATTCCCATTTTTTCATAGCTTGGGAAAAAACGCGCGAATGTGGCAAGGAACCTTTATCAATTAACTAATCGATTGAAAGCGACGCTGTTTTTGCCCCTGTTAATAGGCTTTCCAGCAATATCGACCTCTGAAGGAGCCCTTATTGCTAATCAGTAAACATTTCATTTTACCAACAAGTGCAGCCTCGGTAGCGGCATTCTTTGATCTCGTTATTGCCAGCTGTTAGCTGACCTTTGGGTTCCACTTTGAAAACAAACAGCGGAGCTTTTCAGGAAGTTTGACAAATCATTTACTGAAGTAACAAAAGGCAATGTTGGAACGGGTGAGAGTGGTTTTCACTACATAATTCTCGACAACATTTCCAGTTTCGTCAGTTTTCAGAGGTCAAAGATCGTTCCGAACGCATCACAGATCGGCGCCTCATTGAAAATCAGCAGCGTTACGCACAAAAGATTTTTCAACGTAATAAAAATGATTCGAATGAACCTCTCAGCTGTGTATGTCTACGGGAAGCAGCAGCCATCTGTCGGGTGTTGTCGTGATATGTGAGGGGACGCCCTAGCGACAACGCAGTATTGACCGGCTGCCTGCCTGGGTGCCTGGACTGGCTGAGCTGATAGAGGTCTGCTCGGGCTAGCCGTCACCAGCCCAACCGGCCACTCATTACGTGCGATCGCTTCCATCATCAATTAGCGCGACCATCTTCACTTGGCATTCACTACCTGCAACGTATACTTGCTTTGGCAGAGGTGGTCAAGTGGCAGGTGGCGTCCCACCCCACATTTGGTCCAAGGACGAACTTCTGCCCATGACAAATAAGCTTTCTATTGGAGCGGGTGGCATATGTATGTGGCACCACACCTGTCTGCGGAGATGGCAAGCACAAATTGTTCA